TGGGGACCTGGAAGGGTTCCAGCTGGCCTGCTAGGCCCAGAGGCCTGGGGCCTCGGTGAGGGGGGGGGGGGACCCAGAAAGAGCCCTGGCAGGTAAAGGGCCTTCTGGCTTTGATTCATTGACCGTCTGGGCAGGAGTTGGCCAGGCTGCTAAGAATGACAAAAATGCCTCGTGCATAGTTTCCTCTCCGCCAGCGGTTTCAGTCAGTGTCAGTACAGTGGAGAGAGCCTGTCTGCTGGGCTCGCTGAACCCCGGCTTGGTCCCCATCTGTGGTCCGTCTGCGGCTCTCCCTCTCTTCTTCGCATACACCCGCCCCCGGTCCCCGAGGCTGAATGGAGTGGGCAGGGCTGGACCACGTCCTCATAATTGAAATATTTGGCGCTTGGGGTGAGGCCAGACTTCCCCAAGTCAAAGGGACAGATTCAAGCTGGGCCTCTGACTGCAGGAGGAAGCTCCAGAAGCTGCCAGGATGCCAAAGCCAGTGGCCAAAGACTTTCCGTCAGGGTCCCAGAGGACCCAAGTAGCCTTGGAAAAAGGTGAGGGCAGACACTCAAGGCCGCAAGCCCTAAATCTCTTCCCGAGTCCTCTTTCCTCAGCCTCCCTCAGAACATTCTTGCTGCCACCTCTGCCCTTCACAGAACCTTCCGGAGAAGGCCCCTGCTGCCTGTTCTGTGGGTTTGTTATAGAGCAGTAAAGGGGGGTTTTGAAGGTCTGGAGAGATGTAAAGACAGCAGTAAATTCCTTTCTGTGCAAACACGAGGACCAGAGTTGGGATCCCCAGAACCCACAGAAAACCGAGACACAGCAACACATCCCTGCAGTCCTAATGCTGAGGAGACAGAGGCAGGAGGATTTCAGGACTTGCTGGCCGGTCAGTGGTCAGTACAACTGGTGAGCTTCGGTTTCAGTGAGTGACTCTATCTCAAAGACTAAGATGGAGAGAAGCAATGAAGGGAAACCTTTGCTGTGACGCTCTGGCTTGGGGCGCACACAAACACATGTACACACTTACACCACACAACTCACACACAGAGATAAGCCAAAAAGGGTTTGGAAAGTGGGCCATGCTGGGTGGTGGTGGTGCACGCCTTTAATCCCAGCACTCAGGTGGATCTCGTGAGTCTGAGGCCAGCCTGGTTGACAAAGTGAGATCCAGGACAGCCAGGACTGTTCCACAGAGAAACCCTGTCTTGAAAAACTAATGAGAGGGGGAGGAAGGGAGGGAGAGAGAGACTGAATGGGGCATGATGGTGCCTGCCTGTGATCTCAGGAGGCTGAGGCAGGCAGAAGGATCCTGAGTTTGAGCCTAGCCAGGGGCACCTAATGAGACTCTGTCTTGTTCCTCAGACCCCTAGTGAGTTTTGAAAGCCTGAGGGCAGATGGAAACTTCTGAGACATATTCAGTATCAGGATTCAAAAGTCTCCCCTTAGAGGAGGGACAAAGGCCTACCACATGCCTGTCATCCTGTCCCCTTGTAGGGTCCCCGTTGGGTTTCACTGGGCCTCAGCATGTGCACAGACTTCGGTAGGAACGGCCTCCTAGGGATACAGGCATGGCTAAAAGTAGGCCCCACTTCCACCTTCCAGGGGTGTCTAGGGGAAGTTCCCTCGGAGCAGAGCGCAGTCCTCCCCGGGTTCTGCTTACCTCAGGCCTCCTCCTTTCTAGCTGTGAGAGTCACATAACAAGACGACATTTCCCTTTGAAGTCCAGCTACAGTCCCTGCGTGGCCCCTTACACTCTGGACCCCGTCCCGTCTTAGTCTTCCCATTCAGCTCGTATCTTCTGTGTCTTTGATGCTCCGTGCTATCAGTGGGTTTAAAGCACTTTCCATTGTGAACTGCTGGTCGCTGCTGTTGTGGACAATGAAGGCTGTAATCAGGAGATAAACACACCGCTGACTCCATTATGCCATTCACATTTATTACTGAAAACGGGGTGGTTTGATGCAATAAATGAATTCTCCTGCTGCATTATCTTCAAAACTGGGGTTTTTAACTTAGAAAATCCTCTTTCTTCTACGTTAACACTTGAGCCCCCTAGGTAAAAAGCCTGGTACAAAGAGGCCCTTATCAGTTCTGACCATGTTTGCTGCGGCCAGGTGCAGATGACGGCTAGAAACAGAAGGGAACAGAAGACCAAAAGATGAGCTCTTTGGAAACTGCGGAGCCCATGAACCTGTGGATACGGTGGAATATCTTTCGGCAGTCATCCTCTAAGACCGGGGGCCTTGTCCTCTTGAATTCCAGGGGGAGTCCCATAGGCAAAGTCTCTAGTCCCACAGCTCCACCATGTACCTGAGGGCATGAGGCCTTTGTCACCTGGGTCCTGTGGACCTGGGTCTCAGTTGCCACCAGGGGAGCAGTTGTTGGGAGGTTCATCCACACTCTCCAGTTTGTCGCCAGCAGCCTGGCCCCGGCCTTGGATTCAGAGATAGCAAAACTACTGTCCTTGGCACACCCATCGGGGGACTGAGACTCTCACCACAAAGCAGACAGCTGGGGTGTGTGTGACATTCACCCAGCTTTGGGTCCCTGCCATCCATGGCAGGACAGGCTAGACTTGGAGAGAGATGTAATGCACACGACATCTCTGTCTCCCCGCCCCTCCGCTCCCTCGGGTACCACTATTAGGTAGAGGACGGATCTCATCACCGATTGCTCTCGAAAGTTCACAGATACAAAGGTAGATGGTCACTGAGAGGCAAGGACCCCAGCCAGCCAGCCTTTCCCAGCACAGCAGGCCAGTCACACCGCTTTCTCCAATCACAGTTAGTTGCCACTGTCCTCTCAAGAATGACCCAATAGCCAATTAATAGTCCATTGCTCTATCAGGCCAGGGCAGGGCCCTCTCCCAGAGGGCAGGCAGGTGGTCATTTCAATCCAGGAACCAAAAACCTGGGTGAGAAATCCAGCCCCAGAGGCCACCTTAGGTCACACCCCTGCAGCCCCTGCCTGGGCTCTTAAAAACCTTCAGCCTGCTTTACCCGAACCATAGATAAGGATTCAGGATAAGGGCCCTGCTTGGGTGGGGCAGTGTGCAGCTGCGTGCAGGTGGACAGGCAACTGCAGCTTCCCGCAAAGGGATGAGCCAGAGCCTTCTCTGCCACTGACTTCCAGGCCTGGGTGACTGCTCCAGCTGGCATAGAGATCTCAGGAGGAGCGGGTTAGGGTAGCCTCCCTCTCACCCACAGATGCCCGGGGATCTGGCTGGTTTCTGATGCTGCAGTCTGTCCTTGCTGGAGGGAGATGATGATCCACGTTTCTAATCAGCCCCCAGTGAAGTGCATGCTAAGCAGTTCTGGAGAGGTGGGAGGCAGTGGATCCATCCTATCCCGGCACCGAGGAGAAAAGGGGACTCTGGCTGAAGGACCCCGACGGCTCTGGAAGTCCATAACCTCCTGGCCCTGACCCCGACTCCTAGGAAGTTTTGTCGCTGGCATCTTCCCAGAAGGGTTAGCCTTTACCTCGTCCAGCCTGAGCTGCCAGGCTGCAGCCCCCACACACATCTGTGCATCAATTCATAGATGCAGAAACCGTGCCCTGCTCTCCAAAGTCAATCTCCCAGGGAAGCCCCAGACTCAAACTCCAGACCAAAGCCCCAGAGATATTTAGGGGACCCACCAGAACACATCTGTCTGTGGCTACCCAGTTTGAACCTCATTGTTCCCCGAGGAATAGGAGAAAGGTCACTGTGGAGAAGGTACCTTTCAGTGGAAGAGAGTGGGCTGACAGCAGTGCTCCTGAGGAGCCACTTGTACCCTGAAAAGTCTAACAGAAAGGCTGTCATGTCTGGCTGGTTAGCCCAGATAGAGCCCAGTGTCTCGTGGATTCGGGAGGACCTGTCTCCTCCACGTGGGTCTTTTGAGCCCATACCCATTACGTCACTATGGACCCTTCCTGGTGATAAAGCTCCAGACAGTCGGCATCTCCAAGTCCCTGAAACTCCATGCAAAGGGAAGAACATGAGGCTGGAAGCTGAGCAGGCCCACACCCATTGGTCTAGGGACTAGCTGCACCTCTCATTGGGAGGGGTTGACCTCCACATGTCAAATTATTCTGCACACGTAGTTCCATCTCTCTGGGCTCCAGTCTCCTCCTCAGCTGAATGGAAACAGCCCAGCTGGGCTGTTGTGAGTGTTTTGTGGCTAGTGAAATGATACAGTAGCACCCATGGAAGCAATCTGTCCTTTCTTGGTAGCATCTCATATTCTAGACACCACTCACCTTGTTATTCCTGGGGTAAAACCCCACCCCCTACCCCTGCTGACGCTGGCCCAGTGGGGGAGACCTCATCTTCCACCCCTTCTGTCCTTTGTCCAGCCAAGTCCCAACAAGCTGCCCCCCCATATCAATACACTCCAGAAAGCTTGACAAGAGTGGGTTCTTTATTAATTCATTTTTTCTTCTTAAAAAATGGTACTCCTTCAGTATAAAAAATAAATATTTAAATATGACATTGAATAAATAAAAATAATCTGTCAGTATGAAACATTCCCACAGGGTACATTCATCAAAGAGGAATTTGTCACCCAAGGCCAAGTCCCTTCCAGTGAAAAGGAAAGGGGAAAGAGCTGAGGCCTCACGGGCTGAACCAGCAGTGCAGAGGAGAGCCTGGGCTGGGATGGGGATCATTCAAATGCAAACAGCCATACCATTGCACTTCTCAAGACACTCCCACGCAAGATTCTGGGGTCCTGGCCCACATGCCATGTCTGCTCCAGAGAGCCAGCAAAGCAGAGCTGGATTGCTAGAGTGAGGATCAAGGACATGGAAGTAGGCGAGGACAGAGAGGAGAGACCAGTGAACTATCAGTGCTTTCGGGCTTGAAGTTTTAAATAATAAATAAAGGACCCTACGCTTCTCTCTTGATAAACTGCAAAATGCCCCACCCCACCCCCTTCTCCGGCCCAGGCACATTACCCATCATGCCCGATGGGAGTCAACGCTAGCAGGTGTAAGATATCAAGGTGCACAGCTACCTGCCCCTAAAGATTTTTTTGTTTTTGTTTTGTTTTCCCAAAGGCTCCATGATTCTGGGATGCTGTGCAAAAATGTCTCGGTACTGCTGGAGTCAGATGTAGGCAGATGGCGGTTGCATTGTGGAGCCAGGGGCTGTGCACACAGAGGAAGAAGAGTCCATTGGTCCCTGAACCTTGAAAGCTGCCAGGTGGGCTGAGCCCAGGGAATCCATGCCCATAGGAATGTGAAGTGATGGCAAGACCCAGCAGGCCCCAGCTGTGGAATCATCTTGGCTTTTCGACAAGTTGCCTCTCGGTTTGGAGAAGGGCAGCCTCCTCCAAAGTCCTGAGCTGGGCCTGATGCAGCCGCAGGAGAGCGGGGCCACATACACCACCTGTGAGTCTCCTGGCTGCTCCCGCGCACGGTTCCAGGCCTTGTCCTACCCAGAGCTTCAGGGGCTAGCCTCCTGCCGTCCAGGTAAAGTGCTTGGAGAATGACGGAAAAAGGTGCAAAAATGCATGCAGCAGAATCCTGCGGCCAAACTGCTAAGGACCGCCCTGCTCGGAGGCTGAGAGGCAGCAGCTAGTGCTGCAGGCAGCCACTGCCCCAGCTTGGCTGCCTTCCTCGCTACCCTGCTCCCAGATCGAGGGCGTTCCTCTGCTTGCCTGGCCCCAGCACAAAGGAGAGATCAGATCGGATTCCCTGCCTGGAAGCCCAGACATGGGCGGGAGTGGGAAGGCAGCGATGAAGCAAGGACCACAGCTTCCTGGTCTGCGTCCCAGGCGTCTCAGGCTTTGCTCTCGCCTTCTCCGGAGCACTGGGCAGCCGTTCAGGCCCAGTTCAGGGCCTGCACTGCCCCAACTTCCTGCATTCTGTGGGTGTTCAGGCCACCCGAGGAGCTTCCATGCTGGGTGGGGTGGAAGCACGCGGGGTCCCCCCGGTCAGGACGTCTCAGTGCTCTTCAGCTGCTCTTTGAGGAACGAAGAATCCGCTTTGCCCAAGGTTCCAGGGCCATTCATTTCATTATGAATGGTGTGACACACAGCCGGAATCCAGGGGGCGCCAGAGAGCACCGTGGGACAAAACAACAACCACCACAAATGGCTCCACCCCACTGGAGAGCAGAAAGGGGGGGGGGAATCAGCCACTCCACACAGTGGCTCAGCTCCTTCTGGGGGACCCTGACACCCTCAAAGTGAGTCACAGTGTGAGTGAGGCAGGGGAGCTAGCCAGCTCTTTGATCTTGACCCTTCTCTAGGCTTCACCCATGAGGCTTATTCTACCTATAACATCATCAGCTCCCAGACCAAACCCCACTAGGTGAGGCTCGACCCCAGCTCCCACGTAAGGGGCCTCATACTGTTTCGGGGAATTAACTTTGCCATTTAAAGCACCAATAAGTTAACATAAATAGGATATAGTAATAAATAGACAGCAGCACTGGATCACACACAGCGCTCTAGGGTCTCTAGCTTCCCTGAGACCCTGACCTCAAGTTCAGCTTTTCCATGCTCTAGGGACCCAAGGCAGCCTCTGGTCCCCTCAAGTACCTTTGTGTGACCTCCAGGGCCTCAGACATGACCTTCTACTCTAAGCTACCAGTCTGTCTGTTTAGGATCACCTGTTCTCCAGGGTCAATAAAAGCAGATGAAACCTGGAGTCCGCTACCACCCCAGCATGGCGGCTTGCTCCTTCCCTGGCTCCCAGAGTTAGAGATCCTCCCCTGGGAGGACTCTGGGGACCTATTGAACACCTCACCTGCCTTTGCAACCTACGTCTTCCCTCCTGCGCACACCCCACCTCTAGGTCCAGCTAGGAGACCCCAACCATCCAGGCTGTGGGGGAGACTACAGAGAAAAGAATGAGCCCATCGGACTTTGATGGGCTCATCCTCTTCCAGGGACTTCCTTTCCAGACCTGAAGATGGCCTTGCTTCTTCCCTAGGAGCCTGCACACCAATGACCTTCCAGAATCTTCCACCTAACATGACAATCCCTAAGCCTGAATTCTCTAATCAAACCCAAGAGAAGATACATTCCATCACAGGGTACCTTCTCTGTCTTCCACCCACAAAATTTCAAAAAGATAAGGAGTCCTTCTGGACCCTCTGGCCCGCACACATTCCAACCAAGCCTTCCAAAGTCTCTCGAAGGGACAGCAAAGGCCCAGGTGGTGGTCACTCTCCAGGGGGGCCAGGAGACTCCTCAGACCTTTGCTCTCCGCTGTAGACAATGTGTGCATCTTGTTCACACGCCTAGTGAACAAGGGCCTGAGGGAGTTGGTGGGACAGAAGTCTCTCCCACTTAACCTCGTCACCCAATCACACTTAGTCAATCCAACACTCTTGTTGCTATTTCTAGCTGGCGCTGGGCTATATGGAGGCCCTGCCGATGGAAGGTTCAAGCTTTGCTGGACTCCATCATGGCCCAGCCCAGAGTTCAATGAGTGGCTAGAAATCCCTGGGGTCTGCCAGCAGTCCCCTTTGGGTTTAGCAATGCCCTGAACCCCAGCACACTTTGAGTCCCGCCCCCCTCCCCGCATCTGGATCCTGCTCCTGAAATCCTTCAGTCCATGGCATACTCAAGACCTCCCTGTCTAGAAGGCCTGGGCCACCACGCTAATGACTTGCTTGTATGTCCCCAGGAGCTGGCAGCCCAACTTTTTCTTTTGGAAGACATCTTTGCTGGAGGTGTCAGGGCCGTAGGTCACGTCCACGTGGCCCACGCGGTATTTGTTGCACAACCGGCACAGCACGTTGCTGAGGAGCCCACGCATGATGTCTATAGTAGTGTTGAGCTTGCTGTGTAGGCTCAGGGCACCGGGGTTCAGGATCTTCTGATCCCGGGTGATGTTACCCAGGGAGGCACTCAGGTACGCCACCATCCGATACAGCTCCACCAACTTGGTCTTCTCTGTCCCATTGGCGTGGAAAGGCGGGAAATCTGTCATGTTGGGCCCACACAGCTTGTCCACGTTGTTGGGAAACGGCTCCCCTTGAGCTGTGTACTAAAGAACAAAGGAAAGAGGTCATGGGAGTCAGGGTGAGTGTTCCAGCTTGCCACCACCCCTTGGGGCAAGCTTTTGCCCCTTAGTTTCCCCACCTGTGACATGGGGACTCAACTTACTGCCCTGTAGGCAACTAGACTCATGAGTCAGCAGTGATCAGAGGAGTGAACTCACTCATCAAGGTCACTGTGACATAAATGGATAGAGAGGAAATGTGGCATTTCACAGGCGTCACCTCAGCCAGAACACCACGCACACTTGCACTTTCAATCACCCCAGTCTCTTCCTGGGCACCCCAATGTTTTCAATGACACCCCCTTGTCCACTCACTGCCTTATCCCTCTTCTTTGCCCACCCTGAGCTGCGTGACAAGTCCTCACCTCTCATCCCAGGTCTGCTCCCCACTCACTGGCGACTGGGAAGAGTGACTGCCTAGCCTAGGCTAGGATGTGAGGAGGAAGCCATGGAGGTATGGGCTTGCTTCAACCAAGCCCCTTCCCACTGTGTCTTCCAGTTCCTCAGGGCTCCCCTGCAGCCCACACAGCTTCCCGCCATCCTGGGGGTCCCGGGAAGGGAACTTACGTAGGAAATGAAGAGCGCGTTGGCACTACCATTGAGCTGTGTCAGTTGATTCTTGATCTGGTTCATGAGGTTGCCGTGGCACGGGTGGCGTGTGGCACAGGTGGCGTTCACAGGGGTGATGGGAAGGGGACTCCCTGCCCCGTGTTTCCAGTGCAGAACCAGCAGTAAGGGCACAACTCCTGGGAAGAGACGAGAAGGGTGAATGGAAAAGCCGGGAGGCTGGCTTGAGGCTCTCAGCTTGTTGCCTGGGGGCTGGGTAAGGAGCCCGACCCACCTCCCCTCACCCTCCAGGGTTTCACTGCTCTGCTGCAGTTCCCGGGCCCCCTGACTCCAGGTCTCTTGCCAGAGTTCTCTCTAAAGCAGTTCTCTCTTTCTCTGCTCCCTGGCCTCAGTTTCCCTGTCCAGCAGAGGGGAAGAGAAATGAAGCCTCTCTTCCCCCTCCCAGGATGGGCCAGATTTTTAATTTACTTGATGTTCATTGGCCCATTGCAGCCTAGAACTCCAAACTGGACCCCTTGCGGGCCGTGGAGGCTGGGGGCTGTGGTTTCTGTTGACTCTCTCTTCCCAAACCTGCAGCTTGATTCTGGCTCCCTAGGCCACTTGCCTCTAATCCCATCTCTAGCCTTCCTCAATGGGGTCCCCTATGGAGGACCTTCCACCTGTTTGTTCTGCAGTTTCACCACTCTCCATCCAAATCTTCTGTCACCCCAACTTGCTACAGCTCCCCACCCCCACCCCACCCCCCGCGCGCCCCCCAACTCCACACACTTTGGAGTGAGAGGAAATGGTGCAACCAGGAAAGAGACCAGGGAAAAGGTCGCAGGCGGACACGCAAGAGGAAAGCGAAAGGTGTCAGGAGAGCGGGGAGCTGTCCGGGCCTGTCCAGGATCACCCCTCCCCCGGGGCGCCTACCCCTCCTTCACTTCCAGCTACACCGGCCCCCTCACCCCAGCCCGGCCTTTCCAACACCCGGCTGAAGACACCAGAAGGTAATAGAGGCTGAAATCAACTCTTGGAGGCTGGAGACCTCCCACCTGAACTCTCCATGTTGGGACTGAAAAGACCATAGAACCTTAAATTCACTCCCCTGGTGTCCCCTAATGATCCCAGCATCCCCAGACAGTGTTAAGGCCCCGGGATGGCTGCGAGGGTACCCATACCCGCATCTCACCTCGCGCCAATCACAGCTTTCCAGGGACTAGCAGACGGAAGCGGCACCTGCGCCGGTCCTGGCCGGAGTTTGCAAGCTGCTCAGCCGCCTGCGCCCCTCCCAAGGAGCAGCCCGGGACGCAGTTGGAAAAGAGAAAGCGGAAAGAAAGAAAGAAAAAGAAAGAGGGAGGGTGAATCCGGGCGACAGCGGAGAAGCAAGAGCAGCGCGGGAGAGCAGTGGGGCGAGGAGAGGAGGCGCTGGAGCAAGGCTGCGCCGTCCGGGTCCCTCGCCGCCAACCTGCTGGCCCCGGCGGGCTGGGCGCGCGGTGCCCGGGCCATGTGCGGCGCTCGCTCCCGGCCGCCACCCAGCGCCTCCGGCTGGCCCGGGACTGCGCGGGCGCCCCAAGTGTCCGAGTGGCGCGGCGGGCGGGTGTCCCGCGGGTGCTCGCCCAGCGCCCCAGGCTGCCGGCGCGTCCGCAGCGGGGACTCGCTCGCAATCGGCGCCCGGCGCGTGGATTTACCTGCGGCCAAGACCTTCATTATGGGCTGGACTCCAGAGGGCCTTGGAGGAGACCTTAGATGCAGGCCGTTTTCAGAAGTTCATGCTCAAATGGGGAATTTGCCTGATTTATATACTGGAGCCTGTGTTGTAAGACAGAGAAACAGCTATATTTAGCCGGGATCCCCAGTCCAGGAAGTTGTTTGAGGTGCATCATAGGAAATTATGAATGGAAGAAAGTGAGAGTGAGGGGGGGAGGGGGAACGAGTGAGGGGGGAGGGTGGGTAGGGCAGACTTTTTCCTTCTTCTAAGAATTTGATTGATAAAATTAAAATGAAGTCTTAACAAAAAAACGCCCTGTGGTTTTCCTGAGTGGCTTGCTCTGGGCGTCGTTTGCAGATGGGTCTGGTGGGAAGGGGATCTCAGGGGGACTCAGATGGGGTCCCCAGCCTTGTGCCCTTCAGACGCCCCAGGTTCATCTGGGTTTGGGGGGGGTGGCAGACTGTGACTCCTGGTGGGGGGGGGGGGCTTTGCGGGCGGCAGAAGGAGTCAGGCTGAGGTTCCACTGAGCTGTTTCCAGGAAGGGGGGCTGTGCCCTTTTGGACTTTAGACAGCCATAAAGTAGAGCAGAACGTGGACGCTGGAAGCTACTTTAGGGGTGGCCTTTCTCTAGCCTGCCCATTGCCAGTAGGCAAAGAGATACTACAGGGGCTATGGTGCCAGTGTACCAAAGGTTCTGACCCCCTTACGTCCATCAGCATGCCCCCTCTACTGATTGGTACTTGTGAGCTCTGGGAAGACATGAAATTGTGTCTCGTTGGGACCATCTGGGGAGGCACTTCAGGAAGGTACCTCAGCCTCTCTATTCTGAAGGGACCCCTAAAGCAGTGATCCAGGGATGCTGGGCAAAATGGGACCCCCAGATTCCTTAGGGTGCTGAGGAATGGCTGATGCCCTCCACCACCACCACCACCAGACACTCCTTGGAAACCCCTTGGGGCGTGGCCTCAGAGTATGAAGGTGACTCTCAACAGGTGTTTCTACAGTCTAAGGCAGGGTCCCAACACCTGGTGTGGGTCCTTGCTGGTAGATTACTGGATGTCTCAGGGACAGTGAGGAAGAGGACAGGGTGAAATGAGATCAGGGTCTCCTTACTAAATGTAAGGCCGTACAGAGAAGCATGAGATGACCGAGTACTGACCAGACACACCTCCCTAGGGCCCAGAGCCACTGGGTCCTTCCAGACCTGGAGATGTCATAGCCCTGGGGACCCTACCCCAACCCTTCTGCCTGACCTAACTCGGGGTCGAAATGGGACAACGGGTTTTCCAAAGCTTTGCCTAGCCGCTGAAGCACCTTTGGTCATCTCCGCGTCCCCAGCTACTGCCTCTAGGCACAACCAGGGTCTGCTCGGATGTTCTCGCATCCTACCAGGATGAACCTTTGTGCCTGCTGCTCTCCCCTCCCCACCCCCACCACACATACACCCCGATCCGTCCTGATTCTTGTTCCTTGTGGTCTTTTGGCAGAGCCTTGGATAGTGGAGTGATAAAACCGCCCCTCCCATCTAGTACTTTCCAGTGTGTGTGTTGGGGGGGGGGCGCATCCAGAGGCCAGGCACCCTTTCTTTCCCCCTGTACCCCGACACTTCTTGTTTCTTCCTGGTGGCCCCACCTGGGGCTTACCATTCCTGTACACACAAGTGAGATGGTAACTACACACTGGAGAAATCCCAGCTCCACATCACCAGAACTCCTGGAGCACTCTAGACCAGCTCTAGAGCATGTCTTCCAAACATCTGCTCTCGGACTCAGCCTAGCTTCCTTAGCATGGGTCCCAAATCTATCATCCCAGAAACCCATCATGGTCCTTTCTATCCATCTCTGGTCCCTCAAGGCGAAGTCCCTCACTGAGTGCCCAGTGCTCATGGAGGCCACAGCCCTAACTGTTCGATTCCTATGCCTTCCTCTCCACATCCTTCCCGTGGGCTCAGGCCTTGTACTGACCTCTGGATCTCTAAACCACACGATGGTACTACAGGCCCCCCTCAATGGCCATTTAATCTCAGCTCCACCCTACAGGAAACAGGAAATGGGAATAAGTTCTAGAAGACACTGACATTAGGGCCTTTTCATTTCAGGCCTCTAGCTGACTCTCTTTGTGCCTCAGTTTCCCCTCTCACAGTACCTGACTCAGTCCGCTCTCCCCCAGCGCTCTGGGCCCCTCGGTGCCCCAGGCCCTGCCTCCCGCTCCAGTCCATGTCTGAGGCACCACCTGCGCAGGGCCTCTGGGGAGATGCCAGGAAAGGTCTCCAAGCAGAGCTGAGCCTCTGTCCTCAAAGCTGCCTGCAACGTGGCTGGCTTCAGCTGGAGTTTGCCTCCGGCCCTCCCTCTCTGTGCCGCTGTGTGCTGTGTGTGTTTCCCCCGGCTCCCTCGCACAAGGCAGCCTCCCTTTTTGGCTGCCGGTTCCCAGGGTTGTGACCCTGAGCCCCACCCTGGAGTGGCAGCCCCAGCCCAGCTCCTTCCAGCTGTGATTTCATCTGCAGCCTGCCCAGCTCCTGCACGCTGGGCCTGCTTGGGGGGGGGGGGGGTTTGAGGCTTCAGGAGGAGGGGGACGGGCAGTTCTCACACGGGGAATCCCTCAGCGGGCATAGGGGACTGTCATGCCAGGCCCTAGGTGCAGTCCCCAGGTGGCTGTGTCTTCTCTCCAGCAAGCCAGCCTGTCGACTGGCCAGGGGCCCCGGCCCCTCGGAGCTCTCCCATCCACTTTGATACAGACGGCCAGTTAGGCTTGATTTTCCCATTGACTTTCACTCAACGTTTGCAGCTCTCCTGGAACATCACGGCTGCTTGCTTTTCACTTGTGGAAGCTAAAAGTTAGCAAGTCAAGGCACACGCACAAGGGTGCACAAAGACGTACCAGCGTCAGAGCCCAGACTCTGGCTGGCAGGCCACAGTGGTCCCTCCTCTATGACCCACTAAGGACTTAACAGGAAGCCCCACCCCCAGCCCCCTGCAGTCCAGCCCCTCAGTCCCCTGCAGCCCTGACCTGCTCATTTGGCCTTGGTGCCCTCCTGCCCATTCTTGTTTCGAGTAGAAACACACTGCCCTGTTCTGAGGGTCGGAGGGGGGGTCTGCTCCCGACAGCCCTGGGGGAGGGAGCATCAGAGCGGACGCTCTTTGTTTTTGTTTGTATGTCATTATCCATCTCACACCTTGAGAGCGGTCTGGGCAGAGGTGGGAACTCGGGTGGTGTGAAGCGTGTGCAGACTTTGAGCTCATTTGGAAACGGGCTGGAGATTGGGCTCAGTGAAGCACAAGCCGTGTGGCTTTGGGGAAGCGGACGCTCCTCGTCCTCAGTGTCCTCCTCTCTGAGTAAGAAGAATGGCACACACGCCAATAATCGTCCGTTGGGAGAGCCTGAGGTCCAGCAGGGTTCCTGACACCCAGCAAGCCTCCTGTGTGTCAGCATAGACCCTAAAGACTCATGGGAAACAGAGGTCTTTGTCCTGTGAGTGATGCAGAGCCGCTAAACTGAGGCACTCCAGAGCCAAGGTAACAACAGACAGGAGAAGGGGGATCCTCACCCACAGCTTCCAGCTCCAGGGATACCTCAGAAGGGTCAGACAGGAGAGGGGCCTGGTGTGGTAGTGTGCCTTCTCTGTGTCACACATCCCCCCACAACCTGTCACCCCCACATACACATGTGACACAGACCTACACACAACCTGTCATACCCCCATATACATACCTCTCTCTCTCTCTCTCTCTCTCTCTCTCTCTCTCTCTCTCTCTCTCTCACACACACACACACACACACACACACACACACACACACACACAGCTACCCCAGTCAAGGCTTGAGCTGAAGACAGTGGCTGGCTGGACCTTACCACCCCCAGGAGCTGATTCACACCCCCAGACCCCATCTGAGACGCTCAGCTCAGAGGAATTTGAATCACCAGCTGGCCCCCTGCAGAGTCCCTGGGGGAAGGACGCGGGGGTGGGGGCTAGCCCCTTGCCTGCCTGCTGTTCTGTCTCTTTCCTGGGCCCTGGGGCACTGAGACTCAGGAGAGAGGACTGAGCAGCAGTGGCAGCTGGCAGGGTTTTGGGGAGGTGGCCTGTCAGCCAGGCATCCTGTGTGGGCAGTGGTTACTCAGCAGGTAAGTAAGCAGCTCTCTGGGCACTGGGAATTCCCCGAGACTGGTGACCCAGATGCTGAGCTGTCCCCCCAGCCAGGCCAGCCCCATTCTCCCTGCACCCTCCCCTAGAGGAGCTCAGTTCTTCAAAAAACAAAGCCTTAGCTGGGCTTTGGTGACCTCACCTGGAAGGTGAGCGAGCTCGAAGAGGAAGCTGAGGCCTGGAGGGTGCTTCTCAAGGCCAGAGCTGGCAACAGGTAGTTAAAGGAAATGGGAGAAACCCCGGAAGGTGCTGGCATGGGTCTGATAGTGGATGCCACGTCCAAAAAGGCAGAGTCACCTCCATTTTCCACCTTGAGAAGTGAAGGTGCCGTTGGACCTGCCGCCTTCCTTCTGGTGCCCCACGGAGCTGACATCCTTAGTCGATAGTTACTTTTGGAACAAGGGGACTGTGTTGCCAGATGAAGGGTGGTACAGGCTCTTGAGCCAAGAAGACCCGTGAGGTCGGAATCCAACACAAACCACACACGGGCTGTGCAGCCCTGGGCGATGATGACGCCTCAGTTTCCCCTCGGAAAACAAGGGAGATTCAGAATAAATACTCTGTCAACTCTGGCTAAGCGGGAGCAAAGAGCTTGGACCCAGCCTGGAAATTCAGCATAGTCCTGATGGTTAGAGCTGGGGTGCCTTGGGGGGCCTCTCAGTCCTCGGGGGTGGGCACGGTCCCTGGGAGCAGGCAGCCTCAGTGAGTATCGGCAAGCCCTCCCGTCTCACAGTCCTGGCGAGGTCCAGGGCTGCATGGAATCTGTCCCTTCTCACCCTTACCCCATCCCATCTCTGGCAGACACCAGGACACCCGCTCGGGGCCAAAGAAGAGCCAGAAGCAGCCTGGCCAACGGCCAGCAGCCCCAGCATCACCCCGACATTTCCTGACTAGTCCTACGTCAGGAATCAAGCCCCTGGAGGTGAATCAGAGTGACTGCATTTTTTTTTCCCCTTCACTTCTGATAGAAATTGCGAAGGAAGTGGCAGCCCACAGAGCTGAGCATCAGCAGGGCCGGAGGC